GTGCAGGCGTGATAATCTGTTGCATATTCTTTCCACCGTTTGCCATTCTGTCAAGCGAGCGCCCCCTCGCTTGTGCTCGCGGGCACATGTTTTGATGGTGGTTCTGTGAGCAGAGCCCGGTCGGACGGTCGACCGTGTGGGAGAAAAAGGAGTTTGAGACGCTATGCGTATTCCGCCAACGACTTGCATGGTAGCAGGAGCTCGTGGTTGACACGAAGATCCACGGAGGACCGCGATGAAGGAGGAACATCGCGGCGACAAGGTGCCAGGCTGGGATGGAGATCCAACGACCTGGCGGACGTATCGACGGAAGGCCCTCCAGTACCAGGAGGGCACGAAGAGACAAGACAGGTACCTGTTTGGCCCGAGGCTCGAGGCGAGACTCACGGGCAGGGCGGAGGTTGCAGTTGAGCGCTGTAAGTCAGGTTGGCTCTCGATCGATGACGGTGTGGAGCGACTCTTGGCGTGGCTGCAGCGCCGCTGCTCGCGCCAGGCGGTCCCGGACGTGGGTCAGGAGCTGGAGACGTTTTTGATCAAGACCAGGCGCAGGAAACTCGAGCCCATGCAGCAGTGGTCGGACAGATTCGAGACCGGGTACCAGTACCTTCGACGAGCACAGGCGCGTGCATTCGGCCACCCGACTCAGAGTCCTCACTCGACGTCGAGCTGGACCCCCAGACCCTGGATATGGGTTGAAGTCGAGAAGGAAGAAGACGACGAGGGCCCGAGCTGGACGTGGGAGTACAGCGACGGCCGAGGAGAAGACGATACAGGGTCGCGCACCTGGAGTATCACCAACGACGATGTCGCCGAGGAGGAGTTCAGTTCAGTTCTGTTCACTGTGGAGGCAGGTGTCAGTGCCACCCGCCCCTAGCAACAAACGCAGCTTAGGACGCGATACCTTGATCAGCCTCCGCTGACAAAATCAAGCCATATCTTGAGAGGAGCTGACCAGGGGTCCACTTCTCCTCCCACAGGCTGTTAACAAAATCGCACGCCTCAGGCTCAGCCCCCCCCGAAAACTCGACCCCTTTGTGCGACGCACGGACCAGGGACACAAGATCCAGGGGGGTTGGCGATCGGTGGCCTGTGACCGACCAACATTTGCACTGCCGACCCCAGCTAGGAAAATTACCTTTGGCAAACCTCGTCCTCTGTCGCCTGAGGTCCTTAGTGGGGGGGGTGGCCAGGGCATCTATTGGCTAGCGAGGCCACACCAGCCCACGCATAGCCACCACAACGAATGCACGACATCACCCACCCACTCCCCGCCGCCCGACTCCCGTCCCCCACGAAGACCTTTGCCTTGCAAAGGTTGTGCCCCTGGAGGCGGGCCAGCAAGGACAACTCAGACAACTGCTCAGGGCTGCCAGGTCTCTCAGTCCCTGTGTCCGAGAGAATCGGCATTCGAAAATCGACTCGAGGCCACCAGGGCGCCGAAAGCTGACGCAACGCCCTGGCCTGGCACCGAATTTTGCCATTCTTATCAAGGATCGGGAAATCGCGCTCCGATCTCTCAGCCTCGGCGGGCCCAGGGAACCCAGACGCGTCAGCCCAACCTCTATCGGCCATGATCACATCCTGAATTGCACCCCATCGTACGATCTCTTCCTGGACCGCACGACAGGCGTCGATGGCCTGAGCCATCATCTCGGGCATGGGGTGCATGCCTGCTCCTAGCCTGGCAAAACGATCCGCATGCTTATTGCCGAGCGAGCCAACTAAATCACCGCACGCCCCATTCAGTACGTCAGCCAAAGTGGCGTGTCCTTTGACCTTTCTGGCCTACAGGCCGCCCTCAAAAACGTGCCACACAAGGCTCCAGAGGTGGGCCCTGGAATTCTGGGACGAGCAACTCTTGGCCCTATCCCACACGCACCCGAGGGCCCCAGAACAGTCAGTGCATATCTCAAAGTCCAGAGGTCTCCCCGAGCATCGCCCGGGGTTGGCTGATGCTCGCGCGCGCGGGCCTGGGCTCCAGGGAGAGATCTGCCATTATGACTGCCACAGGTGGCTCGCTGGAGGTAAGCACGATCCGCGAAAAGCTGATCTCGACCTGGGAGCACCGTGCACGGCGCAGACGGGAGACGACGACCGCACCTGGCTTGACGAGGACGACGTGGAGCAGGGTGCGGGCAGCTTCGCAGCAGAACAGGAGTGCGAGGAGTTCGATGAGGAACATGACATGGCCGAGGCGAATGACAAGGAGATCGAGGCGCACATGGCCGCCCAGCAGGAGGAGGCCGAGGCATTGGCTGCACTCCACACGGCCCAGCGAACCCTACGCCAGGCTCGCGAGGCGCAGGCCGACAGCCGGCTGAGCCGCGGCTTCTACCGCGGGGGCCGGCCAGGTGGTCAAGCGAAAGGTGGTGGCCGAGGAGCTAGCGGAGGATTCCCAGCGGGATCTCGCCGGCCGATGGGCAGTCAGCACGGAGGCCAGGGGGCGATCCAACCCCCGAACAAAGGGCAGAAGAGGTGTCCCAGGTGTGGAAGTGGTCATTGGCTCCAGGATTGCCCTGACCGCCAAGATCCTCGCCTCGGCCCCAAGGTGGCCAACGAGCCCGAGGCGAGCGCGAAGATGGCCACCCGCACGAAGGAGCTGAAATTTAATCTAGCGGCCGCCATGGTCGCCGAGCAAGAGCCCGGGGACTCGCCAAGCGAGGCGATGTTCGCGGAACAGGCCATCTTGGACGGCAAGGGGATCGTCGACTTTGGCTGCGCGGACACCATGGGCGGCAAGCGCGCGTTCGACATCGCAGCCCGCAAGAACCTGGAGAAGTACGGCGACGCGAGGCTCCGCGATGTGAACCGAAGCTACCAGCCGGTGTACAGCTTCGGGAACGGAGAGAAGGAGCGCGCCTACGGGCAGGTGAAGTTCGGGATCACGGGCGCGGGCAACGAGGGGGACATCGTGATCCACCGGTTCGCGAAGGACGTCCCGATCCTCGTGTCGAAGAAGGTGCTCGAGAAGCTGGGGGCAGCCATTGATTGCGACACGGGCGCCGCAGTGTTCGTGAAGCTGGCCCCGAATATCCCCGCGCAGCTGGGGGAGTCGCCCGACGACGAACACTGCTACATGAGCCTGGTGGGCGACATCCTAGAGCACCGAGTGCAGGACCTTGCCAGGCTGCAGAACTTCAGGAGGATCAGCCAGCACGTCTCTGAGCGGGGCAGGCCGGATACGGCCGCGGCAGTGGGGCAGGTGCAGTCCGGAGATGACATGTCCGAGAAAGATGGAATACTCGCACCTACTTTCCTTCCCCTCGCGTCGCCAGCAGCATCGCTGGGTCGAGCGATGGGGCCCCAAACAGTCCGAGATCCAGGGGGAGCCCGAGCAGAGTCGGAGGGGGACCAGCAGGGCATCCATAGCCGTGCTGGCTCAAGCCCGGCGAGATCTCCAGCGTCGGGATTGATCGATCCGGCGCAGCCTGCACCCCCAGAACCTGCGCATGCTCGACCGCTGCCAGCGGATGGCAGCCAGATGTTCAACAGCAGCTTCGTCAGAGGAGCGCCCCAGCTGGCCTGCGTCGGCGCCGCGCGCAGGTGCCAGCCCGAGATGGGGGGCGCCAGCGCCCCGCAGAGAGGTGCACCATCTCCGCAAGGCGGAGGCGGTGGAGCTGATCAGGGAGCTGGGTTTGCCTTTCAGCCCGGCCAGGTCGATGGGCGAGCTGAGGCACGCCAGGAAGGGGGCCCTCTTCCCGAAGGCCGGGGGCGCCTCTCAGAAGGCACTGAAGGGGGTCAGCACCATGAAGAAGCCGGAGCTGGTCCAGAAGGCGGGGGAGATCGGAGCCCACCTCGCGCCGAATATGACGAATGCAGCGATGAAGCTCGAGATCCGCAAGGCCGTGCCCATGAAGACGAAGCCCGAGGCGACGGACTCCATGGGTTTCGGGAAGCACGGAGCCCTCACGTACCAGCAGGTCTGGATCCAGTACCCGTCCTACGCCGAGTGGGCCCAGAAGGAGGCCAGCACAGAGAGCAGCTGGGAGCTCACCCGGTTTGTCTCATGGCTCAACGAGACGAAGGTAGCGCAAGAGATGACCAAGGGCCCGGGGGAAGCTCCAGCGGAGCCTGCCAGGGCACGAGGGGGCGCGAGGTCATCTCGACATCGCACGATGGACGTGATGATGGAAGACGAGCTCGACGAGGAGACGGCGCGGTCGGCTCACCAGGAGGAAATGACAGCCAACCGCCAAGTCCAGAAGGAGATGCTGGCAGCTCTGGGTCAGCTCAACCAGAGGCTGGAGCGCCTCGAGGCACCGAGGGTTCCGAGTTTCGCGGGCAGTTTTATCGCAGTGGAGCGCAGTCCGAGTGGTTCAGCTGGGGTTTGAACCACGTCAAGGAGCTCGACCCGACGAAGCAGCGATTTCTCGCGAAGTGTATCAGGGAGAGCAACAGCACAGGATTTCGAGGCACCGATGGCACATGGGGGGGCCAAGCTCATGGAGCTGGCCTGTAGCCCCGCATCCATCCTGAGCACGAAGATGGCCGAGAAGTTTGGCGAGGAAGCAGCGCAGCGGGTCAGCTCATGGAACGGCCACAAGCTCGGGGCGGCCCCGGGCAACCAGAAGGCGCGGGAGACCCGGGGCAAGGCCGAGCCCGACCACCTGGATCAGCTGTCGGCGCGGTGCCCTGTCCACGCTGACTCTCGGTTTCAACGCCTCCAACCCGGCCGGGGCAGAGGCGACCAGGAAACGTCGGTTCCAAGCGATCAAAGAGTACAAGGGCGCGGTGCAGTTCGTGTGCGACTAGAGGTGGCCCAGGGCAAGCACGCCCACTTGGAGTGGCCCATCAAGTGTGAAGGGTGGGGCCATGCCATGATTCGCAAGATGATCGATGACTGCTCAACGACCGCGGTAAAGGTGGCTGGGCGCCAGCTCGGGGTCAAGAATGAAAAGGGATAGCCCCTCTTGAAGGAGCGGCTCATCGCAACGGCCTCACCGAAGATGGCGGCTCGGATGGCCGCAGAATGCCCAGGAGATCATCGGCGCGGTGGGCTCATGGGCGGGGGCCCCACGGCCTCGACAAGCTACTGCACGGACGAGTTCGCCCGGAGGGCCGCGCGGGCCATGACCGAGGAAGCCGCCCCGGACTATCACGAGGTCCTAAGGAGCATGTCCCAGGAAAATGAGACCGACAGGCGCGCTTTGGCGGGGCAACAGGAGTCGACCTCGCCCGCTGCGGACCCTGATTCCAAGGAGTACCATAAGATCATGCAATGGCTCACATCTGCGCACCGAGGGTCCGGTCACAGCTCCAAGGTGTCCATGCTGAATGCGCTGAAGAGGAGGGGGGGTGAGCCCCATGGTGATGGGAGTGGCCCAGGACTTTCACTGCGAGGCGCGCGAGGGGGCGACCAACCGCCGCCCGACGCACCCGCCCGTCAGTCTCGAGGCCATGCCCCCGAAGTGGAAGCAGATCCAGGCGGACCAGTTCGAGTGGGAGCACCCCCGGACGAAGCTCAAGGCCAAGTTTTCGCTGATCGTCGACGAGAGCTGCAAGGTCCGGGTCACTAAGTTATTGTACCACATGGTGGGCCAGGACCGCCACAGGAATCCCGTCTGGGTAGACCTCAAGAGCTTCTACGAAGAAAGGTGGCTGCCGTACTTCGGAAAGCCGCAGCGCGTGAAGGTGGATCCCGAGGGCTCCTGGATGTCCAAGCAGGCCGCCCAGCATTTTGACTCGCACTCCATCGGGTACGAGCCGATCCCCGGCCAGGCTCACTGGCACATCTCCTTCGCTGAAGAGGCGATCCAGGCAGCCGCGGGGACTATGGGCAAGCTCGTGACCGAGAACCCGGATATGTCCACCGAAGAGGCCCTGGCCTGCGCCACAGCAGCCGGGATTTCTCGAGAGGACGTGCGAGGTCATTCCCCCTTGCAGCACGCGCTGGGAAGGGGCCCCTGACCTGGGCGGCCATTTCTTCGAGAGTGACTTCGACGAGCTGCCGTGCGTTGAGGCCCAGCGGGTCGACAAGGAGCACGATGAGGATGTGCGCGGCCGAGCAGGAGTACCTGGGGCAGGTGCACCTGCGTCGCCTGAGCCAGGCAGAGAACGCCAAGAACCAGTCGCTCAAGGCCGCGGCGCCCGGCATGTGGGCGCGCTATTTCCGCGAGGAGAAGGGCGAGGTGAAGGGCCGATTCAAAGGGCTTGCGCGGGTGCTCGCAGCGGAGACTAACCGGCCCGTAGACGGTGACCTTGGAGCAAACCAGACATTGCATCCAGGTCGTGCAGGACCTGTGGTCTGGTTGGTCCGGGCAGGGCGCATCATCAAGGTGGATGTATGCCAGGTCCGGGCTGCTTCCGCGCGGGGGATCGCCTGCGCCGAGCTCATGGCGGGCAAGGACACGCCCTGGACCGTGAACACATTCATGAATCAGGCGACGCGGCAGGAGTACCTGGACTTCTCGGGGCACGACCCCACAGAGCAAGACGAGGAACTCGCATCCTGGGAGGGGGTGCCTGAGCCAGCACCTCTTATGACAAATGCACGCCACGATGGGGCCGCCGAAGGAGGCCAAGTCCGAGCGCAGCCAGAACCCTGTGCGCAAGGCAATTCGGAAGAAGGCCCCACCGCCAGGAGGAGTGGCCAGCATCGCGAAGGCAGCCCGGGCTGCACAGACGGAGGATGCCATGATGGAAAGGGCTGCCCTCATGGCCAAGGCATCTCCAGACGCCCGGTCTTTCTGGGCACGGCAGGGGACATCCCTGGAGATCTCGGTCGAGTTGCCCCTGGCGGGAAAGCCCATGAAGCAGGCCACGAGGCACTTGAGCACCTACATGGCGGGCCAGTTAAAAAAGGTGGAAGCGAGAGATCTCAGAGCGGGCCCTCGCCCCAGAGGAGGTGGAAAAGTTCAGCGTCGCCAAGGCCGCCGAGGTGAGCAAGTTTGCGATATCCTCCGCGCTCGAATCCTCGCCACCAGGAGTCGCTCCGCCACCAGAGGATGCGATGCGCACGCGGTGGATCCTGGAGTGGAAGATGGGCGAGGCGACGAGCGAGAAGAAGCCCAAGGCCCAGATCGTGGTCCTAGGTTACATGGACCCTGAGTACGAGCACCGGCCAACGACCGCTCCAACAATGACCAGGTCCTCCCGGCACCTGGTGCCGCAGGCTATGGCGTGGCTCGGGTTCAAGGGATACAAGGCGGATGTGACAGGAGCATTCGCCCAGAACCGGGAGATCAAGCACGACCTGTTTGCGATGCCCGTGAAGGAGCTTGCTGTCGCCCTGGGTATGCCCGAAGGGGTTGCGATGAGGCTGCGGAAGGCCGTCTATGGGCTCGTGGAGGCAGCGATCGAGTTGTTCATGACGGTGAGCGAGGCCCTGGAGGAGTTCGGCTGGACGCAGATGAAGATGGACCCATGCGTTTGGGTGCGCTACGGTCATTCCCACGGCCAGGACAACAGCTTCACTAAGGAGGCCCTAGGCCAGTTCATCGGAGCCGAGGTGTTGGGCGAGCTGGTCGCGGCGAGGGGTGACCTGGATATTGTGGCTATTGCGGGGTCCCACGTGGATGACTTCTTGCCCGGGGGGAAGGAGACGGACCCCAGGTGGATCGAAGCCCGGAAGAAGATCGAAGAACGGTTCAAGTGGAAGGCATGGGGGACCGACGAGTTCATGCAGACGGGTGTCCGTATCCGGCAGCTGCCAGATATGAGGTTCAAGATGGACCAAAGCGAGCATGCGAAGACCATCGAGAAAGCAGTCGTGAGCCCGGAGCGGAAGAGGAACAAGGACGCCCCGACCACAGACAAGGAGAAGGGGCAGCTAAGGGCAATCCTGGGGGCAATCGGCTGGCGCTCAGAGCAGTCCGGCCCCGTGCACTCGGCGGGCGCCAGCCTGTTGCTCAGCACGATGCCACCATCCACCGTGCAGACCCTCCTGGGCACGAACCGCCCGGTGCACAGGGCACGGGAAGGAGCCGACCTCCCCGTGGTCATCCACAGCCATTCCAACGCGCAAGTAATTGTCCCCATCGAGTGGTCAGATTCTTCAGAAGTGAACCGCCCCGACGGAAAATCCACCAAGGGACTTGTCGCAGGGATGGCCCCACTCCGCATCCTGCAGGGAGACGAGTCAGACGTGAGCATGATCTCTTGGAAGTCAGGAAAGATTGACCGAGGGTGCCGGAGCTCCGTATCATGTGAGACCCGATCAGCCGTGGACGGTGAAGATGAACTGTTCGGGGTCAAGCTTCAGAGGCTGGAGATCCTCGGCAACCAGATTGACTGGCGCAACCCGGAAGGGACCCTATGCCAGCTACCCGCCGCCCTCGTGGTGGACGCCAAGGGGCTCTACGACAAGCTGCAGACTACGGTGCGCACGTTCCCGGGCAAGGAGAAGAGGACGGACGTGGAGGCCATGACCTTAAAGGAGGGAGCGACAGCGTCCAACAACTGGGTGCTGTGTGTACACGGTGACGCTCAGCTGGCGAACTCTTTGACCAAAGGGCACGAGCCTGGACAGCTGAGGATGTACTACAGCAGTGGCCACAGGTGGAGGCTGGTCTACGATGCCAAGTACCAGAGTGCCAAGAAACGGAAGGCCGCAGGGGCAAGAGACGGTGCCGCGTACGCTGCGACAGGTACGGAAACCAATCCTGTGGGTTTCCCAGAGTAAGAGGCGGTTTCTGATTTACAGCAGCGATGAAGAGGTTATGGACTGAACCATGCTCAGCTTGGAGGACCCTTATCCGTGCGAGTCTCAGTAGGCAAGCCTGAGCAGGTTATCCGTATTACTTGACACACTTGGGCCTCCCGTGTTTACAGGCCTGTAGTTGTGGGGCCCAAAGTGGTGCACCCTACGAGGCCCTGGAGTTTTCTTGGGACATTTGCAGGGGCACGGGGGGTTCCGTAGAGGGACCATTGTAACATGCGCGTGCAGGCGTGATAATCCGTTGCATATTCTTTCCACCGTTTGCCACTCTGTCAAGCGAGCCCCCCCTCGCTTGTGCTCGCGGGCACATGTTTTGATGGTGGCTCTGTGAGCAGAGCCCGGTCGGACGGTCGACCGTGTGGGAGAAAAGGAATTTCAGACGCTGTGCGTATTCCGCCAACGACTCGCACGCGGGGGATGGTATTCTGACCCGGGACACTCCCCCCTGAAATGCCCCGGGGATTTGGCTTCGGCTAAACCATAGTTCCCTGGTGGAACTGCAGGACCGCCGATCCCAAAAGCCACCGACTTTGACGGGACGCCCCGTGCTTGGTGCGTGTATGCGTTGTTCGACCGCTGCAGTTCTGGTCCAAGGCAGCGCTGCCCTATCTGCTTACGGGTAGACGTTGCCTGCTCGTGCCGTTTGCGGTGGTGCGGGGTCGAAAAAAACAATGTCACCCCTCGTGCCGCCGCCACTCCGCCATCATCATCTTATAATTCGTTACATGCACGATTCTCAGCACATGGGGCACATTGATCTTCGACTTGGTAGCGAAGCTGCCGCAGCCGCGACAGCTCTGCTAGCTTCCTCCATCGGCTTGATGGCGTTCAGCGACATCTACGCCCGCCGCATGCGCAGCGGCGGCCACCTACAGGACTACGCGAGTCACGCGACACTTGCGCTTTCTCCGATCCCGACCCTGGCGACACGCGCGCGAGACAGTTCGACGGCGACCACGAAGACATTCTTTTTTCCAACTTCCACCTGGGCGAATTCATCTTCGAGCGCGCGAGGAATCCCGACCGCTACATCTTCGTTGAACGCGCGAGGAAAAGCGACCGCCAATGCCACGACGAGTACCTCTACCTTTCCACCGACGATGACTACTACACATGCCACCCACCACTGCTGCCGCTGCACCTCGTCTTCCTACGTCCACGGAGACGCGAACGACCCCATCGCCGACTCGCGAACTTGTCCGCGTCTCTGTCCACTCCTTGCAACGCGACTGGCATCCTCGCCGCAGCCAGACGCGCCGCCACTTGATCGACCTTCCTCCATCGCATCCACTACCGGAGCCTCGCAGCGCGCGGACTCGCTGCCTCTGCCATCAGCTCAACCGTAGGCATCATGATTCCGGAGCGACGAGGCCACCAACCAGGGGCCTTGCTTGGGGCCCAGCCGGCAACGCGCCACACCGGGTCTGGACACGCGAGGCGCACGCGCAGTCGAACGCCCGCGTTGGACGGATGACCCTTTTGCAACAGGCAGTTGCGTTACTGCCGGGGTTACAAGGTCTCGCACGTGCCCTCGCAACGCGGCCCCCTCCCCCATCGTCGTCAGCTTCTGCGCGGAGGTCAACGGCACCGGGGCCAACCCAGGCACGCGCCTGCTTTGCGACGCGGCACAGCGGCTCGACAGTCTTGAAGACGAACGCCGATTAATTGCAGCAAGGACAACAGCCAATGGCGTTTGGAGCCCAGCCGACCGAGCGGGCTGACAATTCGCGACGTTTGCCCGAGCTCCGCGCCCCCCACCAAGAGAAGCACCATCATCATTGCAGCCGCTCGACGGCGCGATGCCCCGCGCGCAGCAATTTTGCGACACATTGCTGGGACTCGCGCGGCGACGACGGCGCATTGCCGAAACCGCTCGGGGCAACGTCGATCAGCTGGTGGGCGGCCACGCCAGAGCGGACACTCGCGTGCCAGACGGATTCCCGGCGGGGGGAGATGCGCAACAAGACGGAACCCCACCTTGGGCCCCAGCGCTTGAGTCGTGGAAGTCAGCAGCTCCAGCAGCGCAAGGTGCCCGAGGAAACTCGACCACCCGGGCACCGCCATTGCCGCCCGCAGACACAACAATGACCCCATGCGGCTACTTCGCGGGGCAGCCCGACTGAGGAGAGGACGGCGGCGGCGCGGGCGCGGGCGCGGCCTCTTCCATGGATCGTGCGATTTTCTCGCGGGGTGACCTTGCTGATCGCCGCGGGGATCCACGCGCGGAGAGTTGATCTATCCGCAGCGGCGCCTTCGCGGTTCACGGTCGCCGGCTGCGCCGCGCGCGCGAGACGGCCATGCGCGCGCGACAGTATACGGAACGCACCTCGAGTGGCAGGGGCGATGGGGGTCGCGGCGGAAGACGGCGACTCTGCTGTCAGAGGCCCCCGAGTCTACGCCGCGGCCCTGGCCGACGACGCCCGCGCGGGGCTCGTCGGGCGCGGGGGGGGCGAGCGCGGAGGCGCGGGTTCGCGCGACTGGGCCTTTTTTGTTGGATCGGGAAAGTGCCGCGATCAGAACGGAAAGGCGGGCGCGCCACGAAGCGCCACGATTGATGCCCCCCGCGACACATGGCCCGCAGATCCCCAATCCAGCTGGCCAAGCCCCTGCCTCGACCGCAGATGCCCCCCTGGCCGGCGCCGCAGAGCAATTTGATTTAGCGGAATTGAACCGACAAGAGCATCCACGTCTCATGGGGGCCACGGAGGGGCACTTGCTGTCGCGCTCGACGACGCGATGGGGCGCCGCGAGCTGGGCCGCGCCTGCGCCCTCGACGACTGGCCGGTCGGCGCGCGGCCAAAAACTGAAGATTCGGATGATGTTGACGCCCTTCGGTTCGTGGAAACACGACCCGAACCCTCCGCGCCCGAGCGCGGGGCGCTACCCTTGCGTCGCGTCCGCTTCGAAGCCGGACAGCGCCATGGCGTCGACTACGATGTCTTTGACGATAATGACCATTGGCCGGATCCGACTGCCTCGCCCCCGCGACGCCGCGGCTTTCGGCCCACGCCTCGAGGCGAAGAACCAGAAGTCCTTCGCCTCACTTCACCCGGCAACTGGCTACTTGCACGACGCCCATGGGATATGGCCCCGGCACGCCGGAATGACCCGCGAGTTCTGGTAGCCCTAGGCCAGAGCGCCACGGAGCACGCTGCCGACAACTCTTGGGCGCGGCGCAACGATGCCATGACGGATGCCCGACGCGAGCATGCTTTGGCACGTAAAACATACGAGGACCTAGTGGAAGAACAGTTCATGCGGTTGCAGCACCTCTTCATCGATCAGGGGCTCAAGCAACCGGACCGCCCTAACTTTTGCGCAGATGGCGACGACGACGACGACGTCGAAGCACTCCATACGCGGCACAGAACATGTTTGATTTTGCGCCGAGGCTCACTACTCTCATAGCGACCCAGGCAGTACGCATGTCTTTGACCTGGCTGAAGCTATTTCTCACCGACAAGCAGAGTTAGACCCGGCCCAGGAGGGGCGCTGCAACTCCAGGCGCGCAGGTGACCCGCTCTTCGCGCGCAATCCAAATCAGGGCGAGGGTCGGTTCAATCATGCAGTGGAACTTGCTCATTCAATTACTGCGAGCGAGCATGTCTTCCCGAGCCTTTGCCCTCGCGCACCGACGCCATGCATGGCCCTGAATGTCTAGGGTCGGCGTCCGCGTCTAGACGTCGCCGGCCATTGCCTTCCGGTCCGCAACTAGGTCAGACTCGAGAAAGACCCGGCGGGTCGATGGCGAATATCGGTTCAGGGAGCTCGTCGATTTCGACCCGACGCCCGGCGGCGGCGGCGCCGGCCTCGACCCGGACCGCCCAGCCACGCGGGCTCGACGGGCACCCCAGGGCTGTCGGGGGCGCCTTCCCGACGCGCCCGTTTTGCCGCCGACCGAATTCAAAGGCGCTCGCGCGAGGGGCGCCTCAATCGCCGCTCCACTACCGCGAGGAGAGCCACTGCAGAGATTGTTCGGACGGCGATGAGCGCGCGACTCGATTTACGACGGGCGCCGAGGATGCGCCGCGACCCCCTCGACGCGGTCGCGGCCTGCCAGGGCCCGACCGACGACTGGGCGAGGGCGCCCGTCGACGACGTGGCCGGGCCCGTCGAGGCCATTCGACCCGATGGGGCTGCGCAACAACTGAGACGCGCCCCCGCCGACGAACGCGCAGTCCGGCGGGCCGGCAGGCGCGGGCGCCAGCCGCGTAGGATCTCGCCGACGGCTGCGAAGATCATGCCCCCATTCGACCAGTTGCGATTCGTGGCCCAGACGAAACCCGATGGGAGGCAGGCCCATAAGTCGGGGGAGTTGGGCAGAAATGCGCGGCCCGCCTCGGCCTTCAATCGGGCGCCCCCCAGTGCGCCCGCAGAGGGCAGCCTTCGGGGCCCCCATGGCCTTCCCCTGCCCGACGACGAAAGAGGGCTCCGCCACCGGCGCATGAAAAGAAGGGCCAGGCCGCTGGCCCAGCTCAGGGCCGCGCAGCTACAAACAGCAGGCCCCGGGAGACGGAGGCCACGGGCACTGCGCCAAGAATCGCGAGAACGCGAACGCACCGAGCCACCCGTCGCGCCGCGGCAGGAAGCGGGCAAGGCCAAGGGCAAACCGCCGCCAAGAGCACCCCCTTAGTAAGACCGCCGAAGACAAAGGGAAGAGAACACCGGGACGGCCGGCAGACGCACCGTCGCCGTCAAGTTCATACCCCCCTGCTGCCGAAGATCGCCGCGCGAACCAAGTCACGGGGAAGCGGCCGAGGTTGCCGCCCTCGGGGCGGCCGACCTCGGGCCGATAATTTGATGGCCGAGGTGGCGGAACGATTTAGAGCCACCCGCGGCAACGAGACGGCTGGCATTCCGGGGTCCGAGTCCGTTCAGGCATAGGGCCCGCCCAGGCCAATGCTGGTCACAAGATAGCTCGTGCAAAAGTGTCTGGGCCGTGGAAGACGGCAAGAAGCGACTTC